CCGGGCTGGATGAGGGCCCCGGGGGCTGACCGGTGGTGGGCGGGCCGGGCCAGGCGAGGGCTCCGGGGGCTGACCGGTGGTTGCCAGGCCAGGCCGGGCGACGACCTTGGGGGCCGACAAGTGGTGGGTGGGCCGGGCTGGGCGAGGGCCCCAGGGGCTGACCGGTGGTGGGCGCGCAGGGCTGGATGAGGTCCTCGGGGGTTGACCGGTGGTGGGCAGGCTGTGCCGGGCGAGGGCCCCGGGGGCCGACCGGTGGTGGGCAGGCTGTGCCGGGCGAGGGCCCCAGGGGCCGACCGGTGGTGGGCGGGCCGACCGGGCCAGACGAGGGCCCCGGGGGCCAACGGGTGGTTGGTGGACCAGGCCAAACAAGGGCCCCTGGGGCCGACCGGTGATGGTAGGGCAGGGCTGGGCAAGGGCCCCGGGGACCGACCGGTGGTTGCCAGGCCAGGCCGGGCGACGACCTTGGGGGCCGACCAGTGGTGGGTGGGCCGGGCCGTGTGAAGGCCCCAGGGGCCGACCGGCGGTGCGCCACTCTCAGCACTACACGCCCAGCCAGGGCTTGCGGGGCGGGCACCTTTGGTCTGGGAGCAATCTTCATCCATATCCACTTTCGGCCCTTGGTCGGACCCCGGTGGCGTGGTGCGCCGGCCTGCGAACAACTGCCCTTCCCGCCTGGAAAGAAAGGCCTGAGTCCCCGTCTCTCACCTGCTGTTGGTGTGCCACTCTCGGCACTACGCGCCCAGCAAGGGGTTGCGAGGCGGGCACCTTTGGTCTGGGAGGAATCTTCGTCCGTATCCAATTTTGGCCCTCGGCAGGCCCCCGGCGGTGCAGCGCGCCGGCCTGCGAACAACTGCCCTTCCCACCCGGAAAGAAAGGTTTGACCCTCCGTCTCTCACCTGTCGTTGGTGCGTCACTCTCGGCTCTACGTGCACAGCCAGAGCTTGCGGGGTGGGCACCTTTGGTCTGGGAGGAATCTTTGTCCGTATCCAATTTTGACCCTCGGCCAGCCCCCAGCAGCATGGCCTGCGAACGTGCCGGCCTGCGAACGACTGCCCTTCCTGCCAGGAAAGAAAGGCCTGAGCCCCCCTCTCTCACCTGCTGTTGGTGCACCACTTTCGGCACTACGTGCGCCCTATCTGGAAAATAAAAAACAAAAATGCACAAGATAAAGGACTTCTATGCGTAAAATTGGCATCTTTCATCCAACACCTAATACAACCTTCTTCCTAGGCTGCTTCAACTTGTCTCGATCTGGGGTACATCGTGTCCACTTATCTGGGGGAAAAAAAAGAAAAAAATGTTAATCAGGTCACCCACATGGTCACTGAGACCTTAATCATTTAAAAGAACTCATTTACCCTGAGCAAATGAGAACTCTGACCACAGCATACAAGTAGACATATGACAACCCAGCTTCAAGGCCCTGCTATCCAAGTACCATCAGCTCCACAACACTCAGCTCTAATGATTGCACACGAGTTATGTACACCTGCTCCATCCAGCAGGACTGTACAGCCATCGACTCGACTGTCTAAGGTAACTGACATGTTGACATGAGACACTGAGCAATATTCCATCTACCCACTGATCCACATGGCAGGGCAGAGCAGCTCCAGGGTGACCCCGAGTGAGACATCCCATACCCGTGACAACACACACCGTGTGACACAATTAAGAGACAAACCTCGCTTTAAAAAGATTTGATTGCAAGAATGGAGATGCTGTGGAACACCATGACCTACGGGACTACCGTCATAACGTGACTAGGCTCAAAGGATCCTGACAAATAAAGACACTAACAAGATGACCAGTCATAAGAAGGGTCCGCCAAACCCCTGAAGATGGATCCGCGACGTCGCCGCGTTCGGAAGCTAAGAACAGAACGATGTGGAAAACGAGTCCTCCTGCTTTAAGATGGATGGCTGTGGAGCACCGCTGATGATATGGCCCGGAATGAGGCCTTAAAAGGGGTCTGACCATAAAAGTCAGAGATCAGATTCCAAAGAAGGCCCGAACTTGCAAAGGAAGCGACTGACAACTTCGGAACTCAGCTACACAGAGAAGACCTTCAAGAACCTAAGGATGATGCCTGATGCTTCCCATAAGCCCCTCGAGGGCAAGATGCAAAAACCCTAAGGACACAAAACACAGACGAGACAAAGGACGTGACACAGACTGGAACTGCTCTGCCCTGCACACAGGAATCCAATGATACAAAGTAAGCCCTTCCTTTGATGCGTCCAAATAACCTGTTACAGGATACCCATTGCACCGTACTAATTTCAGAAATCCCTCTGGGCGATGCACATACTTGAACCGACTCCCAACCCCTCTCTGGGTCATTGCCCTGCACTTATCTTTCTGAGAGCCGGGGATGTGAATCCATCTTTGATGCAAAGGAGGGGCACCTGGGCTGGCTCAGAGGTTCCTGCCGTCATGAGAGTACTCGGAGTCAACTACGAGAAAGAAAACCATACACAATATCTTAGTAGTGTGGCACGTGGCCTCAGCCCCGATGATCCCCCTGCTCACTGTCACTGAGGCAGGTCCTGGGGTCGCTGGCTCTGACTGGAGTCACACACTGTGGCTGTCATCATCTGGGATACCTGAGCGAGCCAGAGACAAAATTAGAGGGCATTTCTAAAGCTGCAGTGGATCCCTGCTCCTCCTGCTGCCTCTCCGACTCACCTCAAATGCTCATCTGCTCCCAAAGGTTAGCCAGATGGCACCTGCAACCAAAAAAGCTCAATGCTTCGTTGCTGATCCTTTTAAGACTCGGAGATTACCTACAAGGACAGCTCGAGAGGACCATACTGTGTCCGTCAACTCATTGTGAGTTGGCTTCGGCCCTGTGAGGCTGCACATGTCTCCTGCAAAAAAAACCCCAGAGACAAATGCCAGTACTGAGATACTGCCCAAGAGTATGCTGCTCCCATGGCAGTTTCTGTCTGACACCCCTTGACCGTGACCTCTTACAGGCAGAGTCCCTGTCACGTTGGACTGCACGTTAGAAGTCTGCCTCTAAAACAGAAAACCAAGTATGTATGCAGATTCACCAGAAGTACACCGCCTGCAAAAAAGCATCTAGTTCTGTTCTGCAGTCACTGCTCACCTTGCTCAATGGGCTCACCTTCCCTCTGGTGCCTATTGTCTGCTGGGCCAGGGGCTCCGCATCTTAAAAAAAGCCCAAAAAAACAAAACTAAACCACCAAACCATCCAATGCCCAAAAGTCATGTCTTGGCTCTGACCTCACATGACAAACCACCTTCTCACTGTGCTCCTCCGGCCTCTTCCGTTTATCTCTGCTTTACATCCAGTCCCTCTGACGCTGCAAAGAAATGAGTTAGCAAAGTCAGCCATATAGATGGAAGGACCTTAACTGCTGCCCAATTATCACTTCTCTTTAGACAACCCATCTGGGGTCCAAAGACAACCTGCACAAACAAACACCGAACTAACTTTAAGGCCCTGCTGTACTGCTCCCATCATCTCTGGAAAAGCTCTCGTGACTGCACGCACGCTGCAGGGAGGGGCTGCCTCCGGGAGGACCGGAGAACTGCTGCCGTGAGTGGCTAAGCCTGTAGACTGGTTAACTGTAAAGTCTCCTTTCTACTCCACCTACCCCCAAGTCCACACTGCAGGGCAGAGCAGTTCCAGGCCCAACACAAACTCCAACGACACATTTCCAGACAAGTGCTGTGGTGCGACGAGGAGAGAGAACTCTGAGGAAGGAACGACTGCCAAAATGGATGTGCTGCCGCATGAGAAGACAGAGAATACGGCGAGGCTGAACAGAGGAGGCTCTGAGGAGCCTGAAAAGACTCTCTAACAGAATGTTCTGTGACAAGAACTGCCTACAAAATTGCTAAGATGGATGGGAGACAATGCTACATTCAAAACCTTATTAGATTCTCACAAGTCCGGTGCAGTTACAAGAGATGACTGCACGGCACAGCCACCGATACAACCTGTAAGGAGGCTGTAAAAGACATCTGACCTGACACTTCTCAGATGTGATTCCGATGCATGTCCAAGCTAGTGAGCCAAAGAATGGATGGTATGGGCACTGGACTGGGCAGTGCAGAGGTTCAAGACCCTAGGAATGAGGCCTTGACATCTCCGATAAGACCTTTGAGGGCAGAAGGCAAAGACACGGTGATTGTGAATTGTAAGACACGAAACACAGACCGGACAGAGGACACGACACAGACCTGAACGGCTCTGCCCTGCACAACCTACTCCAGTGATGAAAAGTAAACTGCTCCTCCTATGTGTGCCAAGGGCCTGTTAGGGCAGACCCTTTCCCCTATGTTAATTTGAAAATCCCTCCCTCCTAACCATAAAATTGGACCCAGCTCTCATCCCCTCTCCAGGTGGTAGTCCTCCACTTATCTTTCCCATAGTCGGGGATGTGAATCCATCTTCGATGGGAAGGAAGGACGCCTGGCTGGCTCAGAGGGTCCTGTGATTGCTGACTCGGTCGGCTACGAGAAAGAAAACCAAAACTGACGCAAGAGTTCGGCAGCACGTGGGTGATAACCCCGCAATTGGCTACTCACCGTCCCCTAAGCTGAGAGGTTCTTGGGCCACTGGCTCCGACCTGAGTCAGAGGCTGCTGCCGTCACCGTTTGCCGTACCTGGGTGAGTGAGAAAAAAAGTTACGTGGTGTTTCTGAAAGTACAGGAGACCCCAGCACCTCCTCACTACCTCCCTGACTCAACCTGAATGCTCCTCCTTTGCCAAAGGCAGGCCGGATGGCACCTGCAACCAGAAAAGGTCAAGCCTTAATTGATGAGCTTTGTAGTACTAGGAGACTACTAATGAGGACAGCTGAAGACCATCAAACCTAATTGGCAGGTGGCTCTGGCCCTCTGAGGCTGCACACATTCTCTGCAAAGTAAAAAAAACAAAGGCAAATGTACATACTGAGATACTGCCTGAAGGGATGGCTTTCCTGTGGTAGCTCCTACCTACTTATTTCTCATTAACAGTGACCTCTTACCGGCAGGGTCCCTGAAGCACTGGACTGTCTGTTAGAAGGTGGCAGACCCCCTGGAAAACACAAGAAACAAAGCATGCACACAGATTCACCACAACACCTGTAGAAGACCATCTACTTCTGTCCTGGAGTCAATGCTCACCTTGCTCACCGGTACTCACCCGGATCACCTCCCCTCCGGTGCCTAGAGCCTCCTGGGCCAAGGGCTCTGCATCTGAAAACAAAGAAAAACCAAACTAAACCAAGAAAATCCTTAACACATCAAGTAAACGTGGAGCCAAAAGCCACATCTTTGTGCTGACGTCAGGTGATGACCCACCTTCTTGCTCTGCTCCTCTGGCCTCTGTTCTGTTCAACTCTGCTTTACACCCTGTCCCTCTATCATGGTAAAGAAACCCTAACCAAAGTCACCCAGATAGATGGGGAGAGCTGAAAGAGTCTCCCTTCTCTTTAGGCAAACCACTCAGGGTCACTGCCTGCAGCCAAAGACTGCAGCTGTAATCGCACAGAATATCTGGGTGAACGAGAGACAAACTTAAGTGGCACATCTGAAAAGTCAGTGGATGCCTTCACAGGCATTTAGGGGGCTCTTCCCAGACACTGACTACTGGGATCTTACTGAGTATGGTGACTATAACCTGGGCTGGATTACTAGAGTGGCCACGACCTCAACCCTATATTGGGCATTCCAGTTCTATGGGAAAACATTTTTCAGAAGATTACAAATGGAACTAATTTTTGTGTTTGTAACTCTACTAAAATAATAGGCTGTGATTTTAACTATACAATTCCAATAACTACTGGGCAATTAACTGAAAATGACTATTTGTTGTATCGTGATGTACCTAAATTACAAATAGGGATGGATATCAGTCTCTTCCAGAAGATGCTTGAACACCCAGATACAGAAAAGATAGAGCAAGCAGGAGAACATCATCAGTGGGATATTTTTCTGGGATACTCCCCCATGGCTTCTCAAGTGTTCCATTTCCCAATACATCCAATCTTAGTATTGGTGAGTGCCGTTGCATTGTTATCATTACTCAATTTATGGCTGTGGTATAAATTAAGTACCATAATCAAAAGAGTGCAGATTGTGAGTAATTAAGTAATTAATTAATTATGAGTAATTAAGCACGAGCTGGCTTGTTCCCAACGTTGAATAGACAAATACCTTGCTGTTTAAAGATACAAAAGTCTCCGAGCAGCTTTTCGGCATCACAGCCCAACTATTATCAAACACTGCCACCGTAACCCCTAAACCGTCACCCAGCGCCAGATCCGGACACCTCTCGAACACCTGCAGCAACGGTGACTCCACCACCTCCCTGGGCTACCTATTCCAACGTGTGACCACCCAATTTTTTCCTAATCTCTAATCCGAATCTCCCCGCTCTCGTTGTAAGGCCATTTCCCCCGGTCCTCACTGCAGGACAGCGGCTCTTTCCCGGTTCAAACATCGGCACAGCCACCGAACCGGGCGCGGGTCCATGGAAGCGCTTCCTGATTCTCGTCACTACCTCACTCCACGTCCCCCATCACGAAGTGCCCCGGGAGCCCCGGGGGCTCAGCCCAGCACTGCGGCAGCGTCCCAGCATCCCTGGGGCTCCCTCCAGGCCCCCCCGCGCCGCATTCCGGTACCACCAGGCTCACCCTTGTCCCGCAGGCAGGACGCGGCCATGCCGCGCTGCCCCAGCCCACACCGAGCCGCTCCAGGCCCGCGCCGCTCCAACGCCCGCCGCTCCAACTCCCACCGCTCTAGCCCCCGCCGCTCCAGCCCACCCCGAGCTGCTCCAGCCCTCCCCGAGCCGCTCCAGCCCTCCCCGAGCCGCTCCAGCCCTCCCCGAACCACTCCAGCCCACTCCTCTCTAGCCCCCACTGCTCCAGCCCAGCCGCTCCAGCTCCGCCACGCTTCTCCAGCCCGCACCTCTCCAGCCCCGCTGCTCCAACTCCCGCCGCTCCAACTCCCGCCGCATTTCTCCAGCCCGTGCCTCTCCAGCCTGCGCCTCTCCAGCCCCGCCACTCCAGCCCCGCCGCTCCAGCCCCCGCCGCTCCAGCCCCACCGCTCCAACTCCCACCGCTCCAGCCCCTGGGGCTCCGCTCCAGCCCGCTCCGCTCCAATCCCTGCCGCTCCAGCCCTCGCCACTCCAGCCCACCCCGAGCTGCTCCAGCCCCCGCCGCTCCAACACCAGCCACTCCAACTCCCGCCGCTCCAGCCCACCCCAAGCTCCACGTTAACTTCGGGGGTTAGACCTGCCGTTTTGTTGCTGGGCTCCCAAAGCAACCGACACCCTTTCCCCCAGAAAAGAAAGGCTCTAGCCTTTGTGAGTCAGGTGCAGTTTCGGCGCAGGGCTCCGGCAAGCTAACAAAACCCTTTCCACGCGTACAGAAAGTTTTCCCGCTTGCACCTGACAACCAGAAGTTATAGGTTTCTTTCTGGGGGAGAATGGCTCTAATTTTCCTACAAATTACAATCTCAAATACAAATTCGAATACTAAATCCAATACCAACTATAATACCAGTTCTCATTAAAAGTCCTTTTCTCTGACAGGCTGCTCACCCACCCCGATTTTCAGTCAGAGATACAAACCACGTGCTTCTGCTCCGAGAGGCTTTATACCTTCCGGGATTGGACTCCGCCCTTTCCCCGGGGCCTCACGGATCCCTTTCGTCAGCCCCAAGCAGCCATTGGCACCCCCCCTGCCCCAAAACCCATACAAATGAAGATTCCTCCCAGGGAAAATGTTCCAGCACAGAAAGCTCCGGCTGCCCAAGGAGTGCCCAGGCTGCGCCACCAACTGCACCCAAAAGCCAAAGCTCCCAGGCTTTCTGTCCTGGGCAAAGGGCTGCTGATCCCTTTGGTCAGCCCCGGGCCGCCGATGCCAGCCCCCCCCGCCCCAAAACCCATACAAATGAAGATTCCTCCCAGGGACAAGGTGCCAGCACAGAAAACTCTAGCTGCCCACGGAGTGGCCAGGCTGCACCACCAACTGCACCTTTTCGCCTGGAAGGAGGAGCCTGACCCTCCGGCTCTCGCCTGCCCTTCGTGCGCCTCGCTCGGTTCTACGCAAGCAGCCGTGGCTCCCGGCCCCGGCGCCTCCGGACTGGGAGGAATCCTCGACTGTATCCGATTTTGCCCCTGGCTGGCCCCCGGCTGGCCGGTGCGACAGCCCGCGAACGACGGCCTATTTTGCCCAGAAGGAGGGGCCTGACTCTCCGGCTCTTGCCTGCCCTTTGTGCGCCTCGCTCGGCTCTACGCGCGCAGCCATGGCTCCCGGCCCCAGCGCCTCCGGTCTCGAAGGAATGTTCGACAGTATGGGATTTTGGCCCCCGGGCAACACCGGGCTGGTCGGCGCGCCAGCCTGCGAATGATGGCCCTTTTCACCCAGAAGGAGGGGCCTGACCCTTCAGCTCTCGCCTGCCTTACGTATGCCTCGCTTGGCTCTACGTGTGAAGCCGGGGCTCCCGGCCCCGGCGCCTCCGGTCTGGGAGGAATCCTCGACCGTATGCAATTTTAGCCCCTGACTGGCAGGCGTGCCGGCCAGCAAATGACGGCCCTTTTTGGCCAGAAGGAGGGGCCTGACCCTCCGGCTCTCG